CCTCTTACAATCAGATTGTACGAGATCGGAATAATGTAATTTAGATTTACTAAAATTAAATAATGAACAGGCCTTGCTAATCAAGACCTTAATTATGTACCTGGTTGGGCACAACATTGTTGTTGGCAGGTCTAAAGCTGCCCACACACCTTACAATTTATCTGCAGATTTTCTGTGGTCAGATGGAAAAAGTGCAACAGATTGGCCCAGGTGGAGATTACTTCATCCACACAGTTAAGTGTAGATGGAGGAATCTGTTGCACCTTTTCCATCTGAGATAATTGTAAGGTGTATGGCCAGCTTAACACTCCTGTAACTTTATATCCATGATAGCCATTGTACCGTGATCTGTAGCTCGGGGCCCATTATCCAAATCTGCTGATGTATCTCCATAAGGCTGGCCATACACGGCTCTATTTTTTTTTAGTTCAACCCACGAGATTGTATAATCAGATTACACTGTGTGGTAGGATTTAGGCCTTGTTCACACCAAGCACGTTCCAGGAGCAGAGCAGAGCAGTTACAGACCGGATCAAAACTGCATCCAATGTATTCCAATGGTATTTTTAGTTCCAGTTCACATTGCAGCGTTCCGTTCCAGAGCATGTAAAAAAAAAAAACTGCAGCTAGCCCTATTTTACCTGCTCTGGAACACATGCAAACGCATGAAAAGAAAACATGCAAAAGCCCTAGAATGCACTGAAAGCCCATTTTAAAAGGAAAAAAAAAAATGGCCCGGAATGCATCAAAAACACGGCAAAAATGCGACACAACCCACTGCACTGCGTGTGCAGAAACTCATGAAGATCTGGTCTGCATTTGGTGTGAACAAGCCTTTAAAGTTAACAACAACAACTAGGTAGTGCTAAAGCCTACCCAAACGAACCATTCATTTTATTTTGCCATGACAAACCTCACAACTATAGCCAAAACGTTTGCTTGCTTGTTTTTAGCTTTGGATAGAGAGGTGGAATTTTAGAACGTCTGGTTTTAAATGCAGTCTGTGTCTTCCAGGATTTATCTTCTCTTCCTGTTCTGTCCCACACTCATCACTTGGGCAAGCAGAAAGGGCAAATTTTCCTAAAAGGGACACATACAGCAGTAAAATCCTGATAGAGGCTCTAAACCTCTCTCGCTCTACTACAATGTGTTTTTTTAATTGATGCACTGTTGGGAGAAAGAAGAGAAGAAGCCCCTGTGCAAGCTTCAAGTCTAATCAGAGCTTACTAAAGGACTCTCTCCCAGCTTATACATGACAGTGCTCGAGTTTGGCGAGTAGCTGTTCAGGCACCCAGTGCTGTGTCCTGGCAGCAAAGAGAGGCAGTCACATGCTTCTCAAACCCAGAAGTGCCAAGTATTGCGCTTGCCCTCTCTCCAGCTGGTAAACAGAAATGGAACATAAGCAGCAGTGAAGCAGACATCAAATTGAACCTGTTGGTTCGATCTGTACACAGCCAGTAAATTCTGAACGCCTGTCATGAAAGTCAGTGGCTTTTAAAACACATCACCAATGGAAGCTCCCATATTTTACAGGTTCTCCTAAAGGAAGCAGCCAAGGCAGAAAAACAGAGCTCTGCTTTATAAACCTAGGAGCCAGCACCATGCAACCTTCATAAGACACAGTTTCCCCATACACTTTAACCCACCACCCAGTGTCTCCCCATAAACTTCAAGTCCCCCTCACTGCAAGCTTGTTAACTTGTCATACACTGGAGAGGAAAGGAAAAATCATGGTTGGTTTGAAGACAGACACTGATGGCAGACAGGAATGTGTCAGTCAGTCAAGGAGAGCAGGAACAAGTACAGGTTAGGAGCTGGATTCATATATTCAAAAGATGGGTCGGAACATGATAAAGCACAATGGCTCCAATGAGGCTGCTCTCAACAAAAAGTGAATGTCTCACATACAAGGAATCCAGGATTGAAGATATACACATATATGCAGTCCAATAAGTGCGCCAAACAAGAAAGTACAAGACAGTTTTGCTGATCCACTATTAACCAGCTGCCGTCCGCCCACCATCATTACACGTTCGTTAGGCTGTCAGCTCTTGGCGAGATCAAGTAAATACACCTCATTATTTTTCTGCAGGCGCGCATAGGCAAAATCCCGCTGGGAGTGTAAACAGCTGGTACCGGCAGTTACATACAAGCATTCTGCCGGCTCTACAGCTAGCCGATTGCTTGTATGACACTATGAAACTCACCCCCCGCCGCTGTTGGTTATCCCAGGCTCCGCTTCCCCCCTGCGGGACCGGCACAGCAGCTGCTTATACAGAGAAAGGAGGAGAGATCAGCGTTCTCCCACTGCTGATCTCTCCTCCTCTCTCTCTAAATGCGGAACCGGTGTGTATTATATCACTTCCGCCTTTAACCGTCATTTCTCTGACTGCTATAGCCAGAGAAGCAGATCTCTGCTTCATCAGCTTTTTTGGGGGTCCCAAGGTGACATTAGGGGTCACTGTATATTTGCCATCAAATAGGGGGCTTATTATCCCTCTATGTGATAACAATACATTTAAGTGTAAAAAACAAAAAGGACTCACTTTAGTTTTTGGTGTTTTTCATATTTTTTTTTGCTATAAGTCCCTCGACCCCGCGTGAACGCACATATAAACGTAAATACACGTCGGGTGCCCCTACAACAATTACGACCATGTATGTTACATAATGCCACAAACGTGGGATTGATTTCCAAAAAAATTTAGGGACATCAATCACTGGTAACACTAAACTAATGAGCAGTAAAAGCTTTTAAAGCGTCGCCTATGGTCAATTTTGAGTATGGTAGTTTTTTGTGATTTTGCGGGCGCACACAATTTTAAAGCTCGACATGTTTGGAGTCTATTTACTCAATGTGAACCTGTCTTTTATGTTTTACCAAATTTAGGGTGATAATAAATGTTTTATAACATAACGTAGGGAAAACAGGTTTTTTTTCCTGAATTTTCTGAACTTTTTTTCATTACATAGTAAAAATAAAACCCCAGTGGTGATTAAATACCACCAAATTGATTTTCATTTGTCCGGCAAGCCTTGCTCGGATAGACAGCGATGGCCTCTCATGGAATGAATCATTAGACACACATGCAGGGTCCTAACATGAGTGTACAAGACACAGATGCAGTTATCTTGACTGACTCATTCCACTGGTCTGGACGAAAGTTAAAAACGTTTTAAAAAACGTGTTGAAAAAAACTCTCGAAATTTCTACAAATATTTGACAATACTCTATGAGGGCACCCGCTGGCTCATCCGGGGACTGAACACCCTCACACCTGAGGAAGCGTGGCAACACGCGAAACGCGTCATCGCTACTCCACCAGTCCCAATCTCCTGAATCCAAAAACTGCGAGACTATACCTCTCTTTGAGACTTTGTATACAATATAATATGCAGCAACGCACTAGTGACTGTTAATGGTTGACATGACCAGTTGACTCGACAAAGAGACTATAAACCATTGTTAGGATAGCAACCTCGAACCAACTGTATCTAACAATCACTTTTCTCCAAGGGCCATATCAAATACAATTAGAGGTAATGGATGGTCGCAAACACCCAACAATATCTTTTGTTCCATCTTGATTCGATGTCAAATACTATGATTAAACTTCTCGGCTGTCTAGTCAACTAGAAGCAAGTGGTTAACTACACCCTACACAGCAACTATTTAAACATTGGTGATTTGTGCCAGTTTTTGAGTCCATAATACTACCTATTAAGTCCTAAGCCCTGAAGAAGGGGGACGTCTTGGAACCCCCTAAAATGCGTTGGCTGTCAATTGTGAACCCATTCCATTAATAAATGTTTTTGGACCCTCATACTATCTTGTTTGGTGCTCTTATTGGACTGTATATATGCGGACATCAGTAATGGAGAGCAGACAACAGTGTGTAAGTCAGTCGATGAGTGATAGAAGCAGATGTCGGTCACAGGGATCAGTCAGTGACCGGAAGAGGACATTGGTGTATCAGTCAGCGACCGGAAGAGGACATTGGTGTATCAGTCAGCGACCGGAAGAGGACATTGGTGTATCAGTCAGTGACCGGAAGAGGACATTGGTGTATCAGTCAGTGACAGGAAGAGGACATTGGTGTATCAGTCAGTGACAGGAAGAGGACATTGGTGTATCAGTCAGTGGCAGGAAGATGACCTTTGTGCATCAGTCAGTCAGTGACGGGAATGGAACAGTTGTGTGTCAGTTAATCAGTGATGTGGAGAGGACAGCAGTGTGTCAGACAGTGACGGGGAGAAGACATTGGTTTGTTAGTCAGTGACAGAGAGAGGGCATCGGTCTGTCAGTCAGTCAGTGATGTGGAGAAGACACTGGACGGCCTCGGCTCTCAATGAACCGGTTCCAGTTTTCAGCCGCCATGGGAATTGTCTAGATCTGTAATAGAGGAAAATGAAAGCATTGCTTAAAGTAAACCTGTCATAAAGGAAAATATTGAGGTTCCCAGTGTTGACCTGTACCTAAAAATGCTAATTGTCTCACTGTCAATCTGATGTATCAACACTAAAATTAAAAAAAAAAAAATTAAAAAAGAATGCAAAATGTGAAGACAAAACCGCTCATCGGCATTTATTTTTCAAAATAAAAGAAAAGTATTGAAGTTTAGCGTGACAACCGATTAACTAGCATTTTTTGAAAAAAAAGTATCAGTGACAGCCAACATATTTTTCCCATTACAGGTTTGCCATGAAAAGTTAACTCTACAAGACTGTGCCAATGAAAAAAACTGACCAAATTAGGTATAGATATCGCAATTATACTCTATGGCTGTGCCAACCTTTACATAGAACATTAGACCACTTCAGAAAAGAACACTCCCTGACTGCTGGCCTGGAGGGGCAGTGTAAAGTGCCACTTGGATACATCTAAGGTACTTCATTACAGTTTGGACTGACATGGTGGGGGCACAATTCCCAATTTTTTTTTGCAAAAGTACACTTTAAATTCTGAATAAATATGAAAAAAACCATCTAATAAACCTTACCTACACAACGGAATCTGCAAAGCTTCCATGACTGGCACAGGATCACCCTTCCATGCCAGATCCCTGCTGTTCTTTGCGTATAGCTTCTCATGGAACCTTTTGCCACCTTCCTTCTTGTTATCATCCTCATCATCATCCTTTTCCATCTCATCTGTGCCAGTGATCTGTTCCTCAGAGTCGGCCTCTTTCAAACAACTTTTTGGGGACTCTTCTTGCTGGGTGCCAGGAGGCCGGTGAGCTTCACAATATGCAGTTTTGCGTACAGTGAAGGTGGTACCATTCAGTCCAGTCTCACGCACTGGTTCTACCTTCATAAATAGTCCAGCCCTCTGAGCACATGTGACATGGAAGGCTGTATAACAGTTTGCCTTGTGACACTGGATTGAAGCTCCATGTCCTTTAAGCTTACACAGGTAACATGTAAGCTTCCATCGAGCAAGTGGAATGTTATCTATACCTTCAACTGGCTCTAAAAATACAGTGTTAGCAAAACATACCTCTGGAACCCAAATAGCACATACTACATGTGCCCACCGTCCATCACTAGTCTGTTTAAAAGCCCCACCCTGATTAGGGCAAAGCACACAACTAACAGGTCTTGAAGGTGACTGCAAGCAGCAGCGGCAAAGCCACTGTCCTTCTGGGATGTATGGCACGCCATAGCACTCCTGATGAACTGCAAGGTTGCATATATCACAGAATAAGATTGCATTACTGTTGTGGCATTCATCATCCAAGCATACACAACAAAATGCATTTTCATCAATAGGCGACTGCATCACACCGACACGCTTGTTTTGAAGGTATGACTCCTTTTCCAACCTGTCAATCAACTGTTCAAACGTGTCTGCCGAAACCACTGAAAAACCATCAGTCTGACGCTTTCCATTTATCATCTCCAGCCATGCCAGATCTACCTCATCCAGATCATATTCAATATCCTTATCCACCTCTTCCACCGATCGATCCGTGTAGCGGTACAAAGTATCCGGCAGTACAACATTTTCTGGTATGTTTTCCACATACACTTGCTCGACTTCTTTGAATATAGGCTGGGGCAGCTGTGTCAAATTAATAATCGCATCTTGCTTTGGACAAATGTCTCGCTTTTTACCTTTGGCTGTGGTCTTGCGACAATTGGTTGACAGAGTGACCTCGCTGTTTTCTTTGTTGCTGTTACATTCTGTGATGTCTTGAGCGGTAAGCTCATCCTCAGACACAATCCGAAGAGGTTCAAATATACTTATTCTGTGCAGTCGCCCATCTATCTCAATATCAACCATGCGTTGTGCCTGTGCGTAGGTCAGCGTCTCTCGGCTAGGGGAACAAGATAACCCATAAGGGGAGGTAGACTGCTGTCCGTCATCTCCTTGGTGTGATTTGCGGCGTGGTTTTCTCATGTCCTTGGATTCAAATGCCTGTGAAATTGGTAGAGACATTAAGAAAGAAACTACTTCTTACAGACAAAGTTTGTATTTTATCTGGGATACAGATGAAGACCTATTTTATAATGTTTTTCCTATTTTTTATACTGTTAATATCCTCAATAAACGGAGATTGAGGGAAAAAAGAAACTACTAAAGTATGACAAATATAAACAAACACAGAAAATGCTGAGAATTTGTTTACATTCCAGCAAAAATTTATTCAGTCATTTTTAGAGCAGGAAATTAACGATTAATCCCTCGATTAATCGTAAATTATTTTGATCGATCAAAGTTCTTTGGATGCGTACTCACCTCTCCGTCGGCTTCCGGGTCTTCCGTCGGAGATCCGGTGACGTCACGGACATAGACGTCACCGGACTCCTCCCCCTTCCCCAAGTGGCTGTCGGCTAACGAAGTGAAGGGGGAAGAGTCCGGTGATGCCGATGTCCGTGACGTCACTGGACTCCTCCCCCTTCCCTTCTTTACCCGATGGAGCTGCTTGGGTCGGTGAGTACACATCCCCGCCGGGAGAGAAACACTTTTTACTGGAAAGGTTTAATCTGCTCAAATCGAGCAGATTAAACCTTTCCGTGCGACCGTTTTGTTTTGTTCCTTTCCGTGCGACCGTTATTCTGAGTTGCCCCACTCAAGCGGCGGCCATATGGGTGGCACGTGAGATTAATAACGTGCTGGGTTAGTGTGATCCTAGTTCATTTTATTACTTCATTGCTGTGCTGTATGTGTATAGGCCAATGTAGTTGGATCTGTATGTGCGTTATAATTAATCGAAATTAATCGATTTAAAAAAAATTCGATTAATCGACCAGGAAATTTTTAATCATTACCAGCCCCAGTCATTTTTAAAAAAAAAAACACACCCAAAACCACTTTGATTTGGGTTGAGAGTAAAGCTGGCCAGGCACTTACTTTCTCATTGTTTCTTTCTAAACAGAGTAGATAGGGGAATTTCCCTGCTGGGGTATTGTATTCTGACAGCAGTGGGTGTGCTGCTGTCAGAATACACAAACAGTGACTTCAGCTAATTGGCTGCTCTCACCGTTCAGCCAGGTTCCGACAGGGCCACAACACTTAGCTCAGCCAAAACTGGAGCAGGATGTGGCCAGCTTAAAAGAGAACTATGTGGTTTTCCCCATATTTCTCTTTAGGGTCACCGGAGGACATATACCAACGTTCCTCCTGTGACCCAAAGCTCAGTATATCACAGGCTATTGCCTGCAATATACTGAGACAGCCGCTGCAGGGACGGATCCCAACAATACTGTTGAGATTCACCCAGCTGCGTGAGTGACAGCAGGCTCTGCCTATCTAGAAGTAGAGGCAGCTGTGCCCGCCCCCTCCACTGTCCGTTCCTCCAGTCAGCGCTGGAGGAGTGGAGAGGGACACGGAGAATCCCTGTGGTGACTGACAGTCACCGCAGGGAGACAATCCGGAAGTGAGCGGATCGGCTGCATGTTTCTGCTAACTTCCCAATCAATAGAGCCGACCTGTGACAGTCTCATTGTCACAGGTCGGCTGTAACTATGAGGTTGAGTGGAAATCACTCACTTCATAGATTTCTTTTAAAGCCCATCTCCAGGCAAACCAGAAAACTACCCTTGCAGTGGGGCTACCCTCTGGGCTGCTAGTCCTCACAGCCTCTCCTCCCCTTCACTCTGTTGGTTTAAGGACCACTGGCATCATCACGTCTAATGCAGGTGTCACCAGCTGCAGCGGAGGGGAAAAAAAGAGGAGAAAGTGGACCGCTGGAGGAGCAGGGATCAGGTAAGTAAAACAGCATGATTTGAGTCCCTTAGAAAAAACAAGCACTTGATCCCTGCAGTGCGGGGGGTAGCCCCACTGCAACTGTACTTTTCTTGGTTTGCCCAGAGATGGGCTTTAAATGAAATGGAGAGTGCTGTATATAAGACGTGTAATGATTGCTGAAGTCTAACAGGGTTATTCACAGAAAGGTGAAGAGTTTGGAGAAGGCCGGAGAAGTGAACATTCTAGGACAACATAGCTGAAATGGACAGTGAGCTGAATTGGAGAATTTTTCCAAATCGGCTATTTTGTCCTAGATTGTTCACTTCTCCTGCCTTCTCCAAACTCCTCACCCTTTTGTGAATAGCCCTGTCAATTTAAAGTGATTGAAAACTGGCAAAAATCTTCCAACAAAATGTCAATGGCCACATGACAGGCAGAGAAGGACTAAATTAAAATATACAATATGCTATACACATCAAAATACAGTTTTGTATCCAAGTTACCAAAAGCAAGTGAATATCAACAAAGTGAGGCATGCATTATAAAATAAATAAAGGTGCATCAAACATAGAAGGTAAAATACCCCAATCTATTTACATACTACAGCGATCAGCTGACATAACCAGCAGAGGAGGGAGCTTAGGCTGCACCGATACTTATCATATTTGACGTTTTCCAGCACAACAAGGAATCTGCCAGCAAAACCGCTATTCACACACAGAAACTAAAAGCATCCTAATCGTCACCACCATACACATTATAATCTGATCATACAATCAACTTTAGATTTACCAAAACTAGCACTTTGCATCCAATCATTAAGGCCCTTGCACTACATGCATGTTAGATCTGAAGGAGATTGTACAATCAGATTGCAACATGTGTGGTGAGCTGATCTTGCTGTCACACGGTTTCACCGTTTAGCAGGGGACTCACCGCACACATTTTACAATCTCCTTTAGATCTACCAAGTGTGTAGTACCAGGGCCTGCCTGATTGGATAGATCCTCAAATTACATAGATTTGGTCGATCTAAAATTGATTGAACTGAGATTGTAACATGTGTGTTGACCCCAAGACTTAATGCATAATCAATAACAGCAAGAAATGGGATGCAGGCAATCAGCAATGCAGGACAAAACATCAGCTAAGCGTGCACACTACAAGCCTCTGAGCGCCCCAAACAAATAGACATTTCCTCGCCTGGGGTTCCAGCTCCGTTCTATGCTGGAGGCGATATAAAAAGCTGAGTGACACACACATAACATCAGCTCCATAATCACAAAGCATCTACAGCGGTTATCAAGGGAGAGAGGGAAGGCAAGGAGCAGCTAGGAAAGAGGGGTACATAAGGCAGCTAACCAGTATGAAGAAGATGAGAGTGACAACTTCAGGCAGCTGCTGTTCCTTTTTCCGCTTCCGGAGCATTTCGCTGATACGAGGACTAGGGGAGAGCTCGCTGGAAGATGACGTCACGCTTCCCGGCCCCCTACTGGCTGGGTTATGTCTTTGCAGTTTGTACGGCTTTCTAGCTATGCATGACGCTCCGGTCTCTGCTTCCCGGAAGTACAAAATGACGGGGAGTGCTTGTTATGGGTCCTACCTTCCAGCCCGGAAGAGACACAGGAAAAGCTGAATGATAAGGTTTACAACGAACCTGGGCTGTGCTCAGTAACCGCTTTGATGCATGACAGGCTGTACTTACCTACCCTGCACCTCGAAATTCTTTAGCTCCCAACTGTCCCTTATTTGGAACCAAGTCCATCTTTTTTGGTCTGATGTATGTGTGTATGTATATATAGATCTATATATATATCTATATATCTATATAGATATGTATAGATCTATATATATATATATACACACACTATATTGCCAAAAGTATTGGGACACCCCTCCAAATCATTGGATTCAGGTGTTCCATGAAATTTCCTTGCTACTAAATATTCCACGGTCAACTGTTAGTGGTGTTATAACAAATTTGAAGCAACTGGGAACAACAGCAACTCAGCCAGGAAGTGGTAGGCCACGTAACATGTCAGAGCGGGGTCAGCGCAAGCTGAAGCGCACAGTGCGCAGAAGTCGCCAACTGTCTGCAGAGTCAATAGCTACAGACCTCCAAACTTCGTGTGGCCTTCAGATTGGCACAACAACACTGCGTAGAGAGCTTCTTGGAATGGGTTTCCATGGCCGAGCAGCTGCATCCAAGCCTTACATAACCATGTGCAATGCAAAGGATCTGATGCAGTGGTGTAAAGCAGGCCGCCACTGGACTCTAGAGAAGTGGAGACATGTTCTTTGGAGTGATGACTCATGCTTCTTTGTCTGGCAATCCGATGGACGTGTCTGGGTTTGGCGGTTGCCAGGAGAAGGCTACTTGCCTCACTGCATTGTGCCAAGTGTAAAGTATGGTGGAGGGGAAATTATGGTGTGGGGTTGTTTTTCAGGGGTTGGGCTTGGCCCCTTACTTTCAGTGAAGGGAACTCTTAAGGCATCAGCATACCAAGACATTTTGGACAATTTCATGCGCCCAACTTTGTGGGAACAGTTTGGGGATGGCCCCTTCCTCTTCCAACATGACTGCGCACCAGTGCACAAAGCAAGGTCCATAAAGATATGGATGAGCGAGTTTGGGGTGGAGGAACTTGACTGGCCTGCAGAGTCCTGACCTCAACCTGATAGAACACCTTTGGGATGAATTAGAGACTGCGAGCCAGACCTTCTCCAACATCAGTACCTGACCTCACAAATGTGCTTCTGGAAGAATGGTCAAACATTCCCATAGACACACTCCTAAACCTTGTGGATGCCTTCCCAGATAAGTTGAAGATGTTACAGCAGCAAAGTGTGGGCCAACTCAATATTGACCCTTACGGACCAAGACTGGGATGCCATTAAAATTCATGTGCGTGTTAAGGCAGGTGTCCCAATACTTTTGGTACTATAGTGTATATATATATATATATATAAAATTTAGCCACCAAAAGTGTTCATTAAACCTGCATCTGTATTCAATAGGACTGAGCTCAGGTTCAGACGCAGCCAATCCTAACCTGTGCTGCTCTGAGCCAGTAAGCTATATTATTATTATACAGGATTTATATAGCACCAACAGTTTCTGCAGCACTTTACAATATAAGGGGGTCAACCGGCCAATCAGATGTGGGCTTTCCTGTCCTGCAACTGCACATAAACAAAGGAGCTAGCATAATTGACAA